TCTTTTGTATTAGGAATTCAAATTCACCGAGATCGCTCCAAAGGCATTCTTGGACTCTCACAAAAGAGCTATATCGATAAGGTTCTCAAAAGGTTTGGTATGCAAGACTGCAAACCAGGAGATACCCCAGTTTCTAAGGGAGACAAGTTTAGTCTCATGCAGTGCCCTAAGAATGGTTTTGAATCTAAAGAAATGAGGAACATTCCTTATGCTTCGGCTGTAGGAAGTTTGATGTATGCCCAGGTTTGTACAAGGCCTGATTTGGCATACATTGTTGGGATGTTAGGCAGATATTTGAGCAATCCGGGAATGGACCATTGGAAAGCAGCCAAAAGGGTCATGCGGTATTTACAGAGAACAAAGGAATATATGCTCACATATCGGAGATCGGATCAGCTTGAGATCATTGGGTATACCGACTCTGATTTTGCTGGATGTCAAGATAGCTTGAGATCCACTTCAGGCTACATCTATATTCTAGCTGGAGGAGCTATCTCCTGGAGGAGTATCAAGCAGACTCTTACAGCTACTTCCACCATGGAAGCAGAGTTTATAGCATGTTATGAGGCATCCAATCAGGCACTATGGCTGCGAGATTTTGTTAGTGGACTACGCATAGTGGACAACATTGAAAGACCACTTAAGCTATTGTGTGACAATAGATCAGCAGTCCTCTATGCTAAGAACAACAGTAGTTTGACCAAGGCAAAACACATTGGGGTCAAATTTAAGGCTGTTAAGGAACGAGTACAAGAAGGAAAGTTATCTATAGAGCACATTAGCACAAACTTCATGATTGCGGATCCGCTCACTAAAGGATTGCCACCCAAAGTGTTTCATGAGCATGTTGCACAAATGGGTGTCAAATCAGTTGAGGATTATGAGTTTTAGTGGGAGTTTGTAATGTTTCTATATTTGGATAATTGACTTGATTCAAGTTTTTAAGGTTATTTTCTGCAGAAATTAAGTTTAAAGTTTTATGTACTCTTACAGTTATATTATTGATCTCAAGGTGGACCAGTTGGAAATAGACATTCTATTCCAGACCACACTTTATGTTATTTCCACGCTACACACCTATACTTGATCCATGTCGTTTATTATATTAATATATGTGATCATTGATGGGTCTAGTTATTCAAATATAGCAAAGACTTCTTTGATCCTATGTTGATATAATTAATGGACCGGATTGATTAAAGATGACTACAGTTTGATAGCAAAATTTTGGAGCTCCTAAAGTAAACATACAATTCTGAGGATTGTGTATACATGTGTATGTCGTCCAAGTGGGAGATTGTTAGATTATTGGACTTATATTGCATGTAATATTCACAATATATTATTTATCGGGTTTAATTGTATGTTATATGCTATCTTATATTTAGGCCCAAAAAATTAGTGGTCCTATGGATATTAATTTAAGTGGGCTAATAAGTTATCTAATAAGGTATAGGGCCCAAATGTGTAGAGACCCATGGGCTTGACCTAATCAATGATGGGCTGATTAGGGTTAAGCACTCTCTATAAATAAGGGGTTATGGTCCCTAGTTGTACACGCCATTCTGTCTTTCTGCATCCCATCGCTAGAGAGATAATCCCGAAGGTGTGTATCAACTAGAAGATACAAACCCTAGCCTCCGTCTCCCGGATCTCTAAAGATCATCTCCCATGGAGTCAGGTACGCTTCCGCTCAGTTAATTTCTTCAGATAATTTCAATATGAAGATTAAAGTATTATCGGATTTATTCCAACAACTCATGCTTATTGTTGATGAAAAAAGTCTTCTACTTTTCATCATGCCTCATAAAAATGTTGCAACTAATAATGCTTCCCTTTGGCGTATTTAATTGACAAAAATTAAAGGGCGGTAAGAGAACTCGAGTTGTCGGGGGCCTCAAATTAAAGGTTGTTCCCTCTGGTGGGGCGTGCAATTTCATTACATTCCAGAAGAAAGGGGCAAGTTGGCGTACTAAAAAGCCCAAATTTACAGTTTGGAGCCTAAATTGCTGATTGAAGGAAGACGTTCTCAAATCTTTAAGACACATGCCATTCCACAGGTAGCCTTTTTATTATTCTGTTTCTGGTCGTGGGGTCATCATAATCTCACTCACAATCACGTGTTGCAACAGAGTACGGCTGCAATACATATACTCCCTCCATCCCAATAAAAACTTCGCTTTTTATCGAGCACACACGTTGAGATAGTGAGAATTGTGTGGTGAAGAATTGTACAGAAGAAAGAGAAATATGTAAGAATGTGTAAGAATAGTTGTGAACAACGAATTCTTTTTCAAAAAGGAAAAGAAAAGATAAATTTGGGACAAACTGAAATGGAAAGAATGAAGATAATTATGGGACGGAGGGAGTATTACCCCCTTGTCATTATTGGACATACCAAATTTGTGTTAGTGCCAAATGAGCAAAGTGAAAATTGTGATTTTGAGAGTTATGCAAAGGAGAGGAAAAAAGTCGAATCACAAATTATTTACCGTAAAAAAGTGATAATATTTTTGTAATAAATAAAAAAGGGAAGTTGGCAACGTCCCGATGTGAATGATGAAGTATTATTTATACGCTTAACTAAATGAAAAAATCAAATCAAATTTCATCATCGATTTTGGTATTCACTGAGTCTAGCAATACTTAGGGCCTTTTTACTAACAGTGATATTTTCCAGTTTTTCAGAAAACCGGAAAACTAGAAAACAGAAAACAGGAAACATGTTTACTAAAGAAAATTGTTGGAAAAATGCAGAAAGGAAAACAGAAAAACGCGTTTATCAAACTATTTTCCAAAACGAAAAAAATGAGACATGTCTATCTTTTCGCTTGTGACCATGTCACTACTTTTTTTGGCTCCACCACGGGTAATCATCGGTGGAGGTTGGGGGTGGGGCAGATGGGTGATATATGATGACTCAAAAAATATTACACAAAAATTCTTTCAATATGGACGCGTTTTAGCCTTTTAGGGTGGATGGGACACCTAAAGGTATAGGTTGATACTTTTTTAAGGAAATTGAGTCTAATACTCCATCTGTCCCGTTAAGATTGTCTCATTTTATCTTTTCAGAAAATCCTACTAAGATTGTCCTATTCCAAGTTTAGTAAAGATTGTGTGATTCTAAATCATTCTTATTTTATCAATTTAATATCAACCACACAAAATCTCTTTTCGGGAAGTGTGTGTCACCTTCTCTCATCCTGATCTTACTGGGATAGAGGTAGGAGTTGTCAAAGGAGTTAAGAAAAAAGTCTTACTTTTCTCCCAAAATACTCCGTAATCATTATACCAAGTTTTTTATTCGTCTCACTAGGAGAGCATCTCGCACGTTTGTTTGATTTTTTTACTCCGTGTGAGGTAACGTTTTTTAAAGGAAAAATTGACAAGAATAATCTCACCATTCACTGGTCTTTTCATAATAATTCCACCTTTAAATAATCCCCAAATAATCCTACCTTTGCACCTCATCTTCTTTCATTGGACCTTGACCATGTTTTTTACTCTTTCTTTGAAAATTATATAAATAATCTCACCTTTCACTTTTTAATTATATCCTTATAAATGTGAGATTATTTATATAAGATTTTTAAAAAAGGTAAAAAAACTTGGTCAGGGTCCAATGAAAGAAGATAGGTGTAAATGTGAGATTATTTTGGGATTATTTAAATGTGAGATTATTATGAGAAGATCAGTGAAATGCGGAATTATTCTTGTCAATTTTTCCTTTTTTAAATTATTAGAGGTAGTAGTACTATGTAATAATTATCCAGGCTATATCATGTCTGGTTTAATATGCTCCGTATAAAACTCCACCAATTATTTAAAAAAGTTGAGTAGTACTCATGATACAATCTACTCCCTCCGGTTCTTATTAAAGTTCCCACTTTCCTTTTTGGGATGTCCCTTATTTAAGTTCACACTTCCATTTTAGGAAACAAAACAATGCAAAACAGTGTCAAACAGTGTCCAAACAGTGTCAAACAGTGCACTCCACAGTAAAGTCAAATTCATTTTCTTAATATGTGTGAAGTCAAACTGGGAACTTTAATAAGAACCGGAGGGAGTATATATGAACACTAAAATGAGAGATGGTAATACATGTCCTCTAATCATTCACCATCAGCACACTTCTCAAATGCAATTGTTGCAATGGTTACCAGTTCAAATGGTAAAAATGTAAATCGAAAAGAACAAAATTGACAAAAAAGCAACACTGAGAGTAGTAATAGTTGGGTTTTTAGAAGCCAATATCAACTTCATTAACAAAATAATTTATAGATACATTCAGAGCCCGTTTGGTAGCACGAAAATCAGCGGATTTGACTGATTCTGTTGAAATTTATAAAGTTCTGGATGAAGTGGTTGTATTGGTTGATTCTGCTGATTTAAGGAAAAAAAAATAAAATATATTTTATTAATAAAATAAAGAAAAAAATATATGTAAAAATAGCTAAAATGGTTATCTACGGTAACTTCAGCCAATACAGCCAGAAAAGTAACTTCAACCTTACTTTTTCTGCTTATTACATAATTCAGCGCGCGAAAGCAAAAGTTACGTGTTCGGTGAAAAAGTCAGCTGATAAGCCGAAAAACGGTGTTCCAAACGGCCTCTCACTTTGGGATGCTTTTAATTGGAATGATTTTTTATATGGTCCGGTAGATATATAGTCTATGTGTATGTTATAGTTATAAAAGTCTGATTTAATCTGTTTAAGTCTAAACTAATCAATTACTAGTATGATTTAATACAATAAAGACATCCTTTATCCTATGACTAAATAAGTCATTCCTGCCTTAGTCATTGTTGTTTTTCTTTTTTGGTGTATCGCTATAATTCTTTCTCACTTAGTCTTTGAGACCACTTATCTAATCACATTCCATACAATTTCTAGTTGATTTTCTCCCGACCAGGAGGATCAAAACTAAAAAGTGATACAAATCATAGTCATGCACTAAAGTAAAAAAAAAAAAACTTATGAATTGGAAAAAGAATAGCCTAGTTACTAGCTAGTAGACACACAACAAAAAATTAATTTTTTTCTTTACAGAATTACAGATATTCTACCAGCAGATCACCGTTAATGGCAGTAGGTTATTAACATGTAGAGTGCGTGGGCATAGTCAAGGACCAAAACCCTGTCTAACATTCATATTTCTTAGCACATTTAAAGAATACAAGTGTACATAACATAATCTGCACGAATGGAGAAAAAAGCTATGGAGTTTCCTCTCACACGCCCGCCCTTATTAATTAATTAATCTTCAACATTTTTAAAGAATGCTCAGATTCTTCAAAGCAAGTGGCTCTATCAAGCAGGTTCTGTATTCCATCAACCCATTTTTGCTTATGGATTTTATTCTTGCATTTGAACACCATAAGGGTCTCTGCCGCGGTTCTCACCCCAAAATATATTTCTCCATTCTCCTTCGTCTTCTTGATTGCCAACTCCTTTGTATCGTCGCACACCTCATATACAATGCCTGCAAATTTAAGATGTATTTTATTTAGAGAAAAATTAGGTTGGGGTTCCACAAAATCCAAAATTAGGTTGGACAGGGAAAAATAATTCATCCATCTAAATTTCTTTAGAGAAGAAAAAGTTAAATGGGAAAAAATTTATTTGATTCCTCAATCCACGCATGGAGTTATGGCAAGATAAATCATATCAATGTTAAGTGTCTCACAAAAGATGTTTATGCAATAATGAGGTAAATCCATATGTTGCTGAAACTTGATTCAACATTGGAGAACTAACTCGGGCAAACTTAACTTGAAAGTCTGATGTAATCATGTGAAGTTGTGAACAATATAAGTATTAAAAGAAATAAAAGAGTGGGATCTTACTTTTATTCTTTTTGGAAAAGGCTCCACCAACATGCTTGCTTTTCATCTTGATGACTACCTGTAGATCAAAATTTATGATATAAGCATAAGTTTTGTGTAATTTATAAGCTGTCCATGAATTCACAAATATGATGTTTTTTGTTGTTGCAGATATTGCACGTACCTCGCATTTTCTGTTTACATAGACAAGAACAGATTTCCACCTTAGCACTCCTGAAAATCACAAAAAATATGATACCATCATCTTCTATTCTAATGCCAGATCACAGATCAGTCCCCTCCTAGATGAGACAAGTTGAGCTTACCTTTTCTAGTTATTTGCAGCAAGTCACCTTCTAAGGGAGGATCATCCTCTTCCATTTCTTTGTTAATAACAGAAGGGTAAGCTTCCATTAAGACCTTATCACAAGGACTTATTGTTGCATTCCTCATTGCTTCTCTTGGCATTCTCGCCCTCAAAGCTGCCGCCCCTCTCAAAGCTTCATCCAACCAAAACCAAAACCTTTCCGTTATTGATAAGTATTGTGAAAAAACGGGTTGCAAATGTAAGTCAGGACTCTGCATTGCTGACCGTGTTGTCAATAATAAGACAACATATCATTAAATTAAAGCATATTAAATTGATTTAACTCTCCACAACACAATTTTTAAGATCAGCTTAATACAAGGATGAGTCCAAAACTATATATCTAAGTTATTATCTTTATATTCGGGCAGTGTAGAAATTTTACATGTCATAAAAGATGACTACTCATTGGAGTAGATTAGTCCTGAAATCCGTGTACTCATTTTAAGTTTAATGGACTCTCATATTATACTATGACTTAAGATTATACCTTAAAAGGTCAGTCACATAGGATAAGTAGTTCTAGCTTCTAAGCACTTATACGTGAGAGTGAGACTATCAATATAACTGGTCAGTGTAGAATGACATAACACACTATAAAAAAATCATATGCATTAATAGATGTGTACCTGTGGCAGCTGCAGCTGTGAGAGTGGTGAGATCACTGGCACTACGAATGTCCACAGCTGACCTAACCACAGAGGCCACACGATCTCGGTCTGTCCCAGCGGACTCAGCGACTTCTATACAGTGAGAGGCCAGGAGCTCAGTGGCAGATGCCAGAGCGTCATTCATCTTTGAGTTTGACCCTTTAGGACAACTGCCTGTTGCAGCCGCGGCTGCTACGGCCGCGGCTAGCCCTGCAACCGACAGCAAGGCATGCTTTTGCGCATTCTCGAGACGCACCTTGTCTTTCTTTTGAACAGAGCTACTGCTATACTCTCTGGAATTGAACCACCTCCCTATTTTAGCTCTTTTCCCATTTCTCTTATTCACTATCTTGATTGGCTGCAGAATCCGAATACTTTGTTTGTCAAAACTGAAACACAGGTGTACATTGAATGCACGTTGGGACAGCTTATTATCTTAATTATACACAATCTTTTAGATTATGATTTTTTTCTTAAAGTTGTGTTTGGGGAGGACTAGTTGAAATATAATCAGTTTATGCTTTGAAAAATGAATCAAATCTTGAATCTGGAAATTCGTAGATGAGGATTAATCTAACCAAACTTATTTTTTCTTTAAGCTATTTTGATATTCTTTTTCCTCTAAAGTTGCAAAAAGGAGATATCTTAATGCAGGCAATGGAAATTTATTATTTCAAAAAAACTTACCCAAACATAAATCTGTTCGGATTATAATTGATTACAGCAAGTTGTACACATAATCTGCTTCTGGGATTTGAAATAATCTAAATTTTGTAGATATCCCAAACAAGCTCTAAGAGCACGTTTAGATTTTTAAGTTGTCTTCCATATTATATAATCCATCTTTGGTTTAAAAAAACATGATGTGTTTAGGAGTATCATCTGAAATCTATAGTCAGATTATTACCTAAAAACTGTTTGCTTGAATCTTTTCATCAACTTTTTTTCTTTTAGCTATTTTGGTGCACTTTGACCTTGCAAAAAGCTGTTTTTTTGCTGTTATTTTCAAACCACTTCTCTGCAACTTTCCCAAACAGAAAATGGACTCAGATTAAAACAAATTCTTACAAATGCAATCAATTACAGAAATAATTAACCTGCTCCAAGTTCTTCCACTGAAAATACATTTCTTTCTTTATTTAGAGAAAGAAGAAGAAAAACTTACAGTAGATTGTATAGCATCTGCCTCTGGGATGACATCTGGTTTGGGTTTGTTGTCAAATGCACCAAGTTTGTATTTGTGGGCCAGAGCTTTGGAAATCTCAGAAGCAGAGAGGGTCCAAGATCTTGACAAGAAGTCCATTGGCTCTTTTGGTGTTGGTGGTTGAGGAACTGAACCCAAACAACCCTTCATCTCTTCATCCTCTTCTATACTCAACAACCAATGTGAGGAGGCATCTTTCTTCCATCCCAGAAGCCTATTACTCTCCTCCATACTTTTTGTTCTTAATTTTTGCATACACAAACACATCAAATCTGTCATCTGCTCTCCTATATCTCAGTATCTCACTCAAGAACTCGCATTCTATGTATTTACACAGAAGAAGAGAGAAAACATATGAAGGAAGGGAAGGAAAAAGGAAGCCTAATCCCAGCCTAAATATTCTAAACTGTCGTTGTACGAGAAAAGCTGAACGTGCTAGGGACTTTCACAAATTTGTGTGCTGAGAAAAAAAAATTGGATTTCAACTTAATAATAATTACCCATTAATTCGACTTAAACCAAGAAAATTGTTGCCCTCATTTAACGGGATTAATGTCCCCTAAATTACGTGCAAGTGCAGCCCCATTTCTCTACTGGTTGAGACTCAAATACGGAGTAATTTTGACTGGCCCTTTGAGAAATACTACTCCCTCCAGTCCTTATTAAAATTCCCAATTTGACTTCACACACATTAAGAAAATAAATTTAACTTTACTGTGGAGTGCACTGTTTGGCACTGTTTGGACAGTATTTGGCACGGTTTGGCATTGTTTTGCACTGTTTTGTTTTCTAAAAGGGAAGTGTGAACTTAAATAAGGGACATCCCAAAAAGGAAAGTGAGAATTTTAATAAGGACCGGAGGGAGTATAACATTTATAATTAAGGAAATGCTTAACTATGGTTAGTTTTTCAATAGGGTTCAACTTTACCAACTTTAAATGAATGAAAATTGCTCAAAATAGTTTAATTATTTAATTCTATGAAAAGAATAAAAAACAAAACTTCATGACACATATTATGAAAAGAAAATAATGTGCGTTTTATTTTACTCCCATTTTGAGAATTTTGTCGTTAAAGGATTAGTTTAATTATTTACGGTTCTCGTATCCGTAGATCACCCTAGTAAAGGTCAACGCTCTTTGTAGTGCTAAAACATACGATTGTAGCATTCGTAAAAAAATAGGACCATAAGTTTGATTTTTCCCTAAATAGGATTAAATATTACTCTGTAATTTCTTGCCCCTAATTTAATTAATTAGGTAATTGATATAAATATTGCCCCTAGTTCCCTTTCATAACTAAGATCAATCCATTGGTGACAGCAATGCTCGACAGCGGCGGAATTCGGGCAAATCGATAGTGATAATCTGGGGGATTCAGTGACCGCTGGCAGGCAATGCAGCGACGTGACCTAGAGATAATAGTGCTCCAACCCTTTGAGACTATTGTTGTCCAACTAGAAATAAAAAAGTCTTATTTATTACAATTTAAACTAATAAGTCATATTATTAAGAAAATAACATTGTTTTGCAATTTTAATCCTATTTGAATAAGAACTTGTGAATAACACTGAAATTGGTCAAATCAGTTGATTCTATTGAAAATTTATGAAGTTCTGGTTGAAGTGGTTGTGTTGACTGATTCTGCTGAATTTTAAAAAAATTATATTTAAAATATTTTTTTATTAAACTTAGATGAGGAATAGCTAAAATGGTCTTCAGCAGTAATTTCAGCTAATACAATCAGAATAGTAACTCTAATGTGATACTAATCACCCTGGAGTTAGGGCGTTAGAAAGACTTTAGTTATATAGAAGATACACTAATAATATTACAAGAAAGGAAAGTAAACATATCCTACTAATAATATAAGCTACTAAATATACACTACCATAATTACAATATTACAAATCATGGAGATTATATGTTATCACCCCCTGCAAGCGAAATGTGGGGCTGAAGAAATACGGAGCTTGGATCGAAAGGAGGTGAAAAAGGAATGAGAGAGACTTTTGGTGAAGATGTCCGCAAGCTGAAGGCTAGTAGTAACAAATTGAACATGCAATTTTCCAAGAGAGACAAGTTCTCGTATGAAGTGGTTGTCAATATCAATATGCTTTGCACGTTTGTGAACAACAGAGTTTTGATCTGAGGTAAGAAAATAGCACTCTTATTAAATTATCGCAAAGAAGCAAAGAAGCAAAGGAGCAGTAGGCAACGGAACGTGAAGATCACGAAGAAGATGCAAGAGCCAGACAACCTCAGAAGCAATGTTGGCTAGAGCACGATACTCAGACTCACAATTGGATCCAGAAGCAGTGTGTTGCTTTTTGGCACTTCAAGAGATAAGATTGTCCCCAAGGAAGATGGCATAACCGTAAGTAGATCGACGAGTTTCGAGACACCGAGCCCAATCAGCATCGAAATAACCATGAATGGTGGGTGCGGAAGCGGAATGAGTGAAGGTAAGCCCATAATGGAGCGCTCCCCTAAGAGAGAAGAATACGTTTGACAACGTTGACAGCGTAGGATAGATATGGCCGTGTAATAGTAAGATATTGCAATGCCAGTATGCCACAACAATAGCGGTAGAAAGAAGGATCAGAATAAGGTGCTCCACTCGCAGTGTGTAGTTGCGACCCAGGTTCCCAAGGAGTCGAAACCAGATTAGCATCTAGCATAAGAGCATGGTCTAAAATATCTCTAGCATACTTCGCTTGACCAAGGAAAAAGCCATCAGCTATATGAGTAACTTCAAGGCCTAAAAAATAGCCGAGATTGCCAAGATCTTTAATAGAGAATTCGGTATTGGTCCGAGCGATAAAGTGACGAATGACATCAGAGTGATTACTGGTAATGAGGATTCATTGACATATACCAAGAGGTATAAAAGAGTAGAACCGCTAAAGAAGGTGAAGAGCGAAGTGTTTGCCTTACTACATGAAAAATCAAGGGAAATAACATTGATGGATAAGTGTACCCGGGGGTACCTATCTGAGGGGTTACTGCGGGAGTAACTTAGAGAGAAGTCAGAGCAAAAGTAGAGAGAGAGTGTATATTGACGTATTGCTTAAAGCATATTGAGTGTGGGTTACAATGGGGAAAAGGGGGGCTATTTATAGCAGCAATAAATGCGAGACGAGGACACGTGTCAAGCATCCGATGGCCGAGGGTCACGTCAATCGGGGTGGCACTGGCAATTGCATGTGGCCGCATTAAATGCGGTGGTTGGATGTGACGTTGTACTTGGTACGGCGATCTGGGCGCATGTGGAGAGGAGATTCTGTCGAGGAAGGTGTCCTCGTCTGCAGATGACTAGCCGACGGCTCTTCATGCCGAGGGCCTCTCAGTGCCGAGGGCCTCTCAGTGCCGAGGGCTCTAGGTGCCGAAGGCTACTCATATCGTCGTTTTCTCCCAGCAGCTTCGTAAGCCTAAAACAGTTGTTCTGTGAGAATTTGGGGCCTTCGGCCAGGGGACCGGAGGCGGCTGCATGGGCAGCGTGGGCCTCCTGTCACTTGGGGCGCTGTGATTTGGGCCTGCTGTGCTTCCTAGGCCTGTTGGGCCTGTATTAGAATAGTGGGAGTCTATGGACCGGGGGTTCCTGGGCCATATACTCCATCAGGAGTCCCTCACTCCTTTTGTCGAAAGGTACTTGAGGGAAAAGGAGTAAAATGCATTTGTCCTCTGATGCTGGCATTTTGCTCTCTAATTTGTGGAGTTTGTGAGGAGTCGTCGTTTGCACGTTTTGCCGAAGGCAGTCCCTCAGTCCCCCACATTCTGGGATTTGAGGGATTGGGTTGCTGTTTTGGGGAGATTTTTGATAATTTTCTTTTTTCAGATTTTCCCGAAGGGGTCTTCTAGTCCCCCACTCCTTGAGGCACTTGTAAAGTGGTGAAAAGGAGTAGAGTAGTGCCTGTCTGCAATATGGGCCGAGGGGTGACGCTTTTCGTTTCATTTTGGGGGGATGCCTCGTTAAAAACCTCATTAGGAAAAACCCTGTGGGAAAAAATCCTAATGAAGGAAAAAGAGTGCACCGAATTCCCCCAATGATGACTCGAAAGGGTCACCCTTGGTCTAAGATGAAAGATAATATTGATGTCGAGGGGTGTCCGTGAGTTGAGGGCCTTCTTACAGGAGTTAGCTGAAGGCTGACTGTTAATATCCCGGAGGTGCCGAGGGGAGTCCCTCAGTTAGGGAAGCTGAGGGCGTGTTGACGCAAGTGATAGTTCCTTTGTTGCCGATGGGGGTTCCTTAGCAGTTTGATAAACTGGGGATGAAGGCTCCCGTTTTTGTATGCCGGAGGCTAACCACTGATGAGGGGTTTGAAGGTGTGACCCCGGGGGGTCTCCCCGGTTTCCCTATATTGGGGTGTAAGGGTACCCGATGGGTCCCCTGTTGATTCAAGTGTAGTGGGCTAAGGGTAACCGAGGGGTCTTCCTGGTGTTACCCGGGGCCCATATGACATGGGGGTGTTTGAATGTAATGCACCGAGGTCCAACCCCAATTTGTTGTGCAAAGGATGCCAAAAGTTGTCGTTGGAATATGACCGTTATAGAGGGCTTCCACGTGGCGCGTGCTTGTTGGTTGGTTCTGGGCGGGCATCACCGTTTGGTTGAACCGACGGTTTGCAATGATGATCTTGACGTCCGGGGGCTCGGATTTCGGCCCAAGCTCGGATCTTGGAGGCTATAAATACCCCAAGCCCTGAGCCTTACCCCCTGTGCGATTCAGTGTTAGTGAAGCTTTGGCAAAATCTTTTCTAGAGAGAGAAAGTGCCCTTCGATCGAATCCCCATTCCTAAGGTCAGTTCTTCGCCTGTTCTTGGTAATTCTTGCACCTGTTGATTCCTTGCCTTTACATGTAGTGTTTAGGGGCCTTTAGATCCTAGAAACTTTCCGCCCGTGAGCTTCTCGCTACTACATGTCTTCCGAGAGCGATTCCCAGAACCGTCCCAAGAGCCTTCGGTTGGAGCAGAGAGCTACTCGGATGTTGAGTCCTCGTCCAATCTTCCTTCGGCGAGTGGAGATGCGGCCGTGGCCATGGAGGTGCAGAAAGATCTTACCGCCGAAGTCGAGGCCGAAGGGTTCGAGCAGGAGTGTGAGGACGAGGAGTTAGCCCTCGCCTACCAAGTGGCCGAGGAGGAGGCACAGAAAGAGAGGATGAAGGTCACCGTCGCCGTCCTCCCCCTCGTAATGCTGGTGAGGCCAGAAACTCTAGACCTCTCAACCCGACGCCGCTCAGGGTAGCCCTTAGAAAGAAGAAGAATAAGAAGGTGAAGGCCGCTCCGAGGAAGAAGCAGGCACCTGCCGATGCTGGTCAGCCGGTGGGCATCCCCGAAGGCCATACCTATTTGGACACTGCTGCATTGGAGCTGAGGACGAGGGCCTCCCCTGCCGAGTACCAGGATACCTAG